GCCATTTTTCTAAAACACCACTTGCTGTAGTAATTATTACAAATCATCCAGCGAGGGCCTACTCTGGACAGCCCTACCCTCCAAAGATAAAAAAAAATTCCAGACTTGTCGACTGTTCAATTCAGTTCCCACCGTTTTATCGACCTTCGACAGCACTCACTTTCATAATGAAATTCCTAGTTTACTTTTCTTCAGATGTGTATTAAAGAACTTGGTGATCTACTTGTCGTCTGGTTCTGACCATATTGTTCCCTCCATTCAATTTCAATTTTATAAGAAAATGCATGCGCCGTTTCGCCGGCCCAAAAACAAGGTGGCCGTGATAACGAGGTGACCGTGAGGCGGGTTTCCACCGTAATCTCTATGCGTACATTTCTATACGAACCACTTACATGTAACCACAGGCTTATTCACTAAACAACGATTAATCAACCTTTTCTATAACTCTCGTAAATATGAGCATACATATAATAGAACTTTTCGGGTCAAAACAGTCAGAACTATAAATATTCCTTCGTTACACAGAAACAGATCCAACCTGGTAGCATTCGTAACTTGTTACAATTGGCCGCTTAGGCTTCAACACGAGGTACAAGTCAAACAACAAAATTGTGTCACAAGCATAACAATAGTTCTAACCGTAACTTCTAAGGAAGTTGCTCCTCTGTTCCAAACTGCACCGAACTTGCTGAAAGATACAGTTTCCATTCCTACGAGGTGGAAGCAGCTCTTCTCGAAATGGGTTGTTTGGTGAATATTCGACTGATTGAAGTTGTACGGATGGCAAAGTCGATCGAGTAAAGGAGCCCCTGCAGTTTCAGGGTAGTTGTCAGGGCATTTTTCTGCGGATCTAAATGTATGCGTATTCCGTTATTGTCTAAACTACTCCAGGCCGTTCGTCTCGAATACGTCACCGTTTATAAGTACGTCTTACGACCGTCTTGAAAATCGTGGGTCTCTCCTCATGTCTTCTTAGCATTCCCTCAACAATCTGTTTGTAAATGTGTGGCTCCATTTTATCATACATCTCATGACTTTTGAAATCATCCAGCGACAGCCAACTAGCTTTGTCGATTATGGTTTCAACGAGCTCGTCTAGTTTGTGGGTCTGTGCAAGTGTCAAATGAACCAGGAACTCATTTCCGCTCGAACGAGATACCTCTTCGACCAAGAAATCTTCGCACCTCTGCTTAATGGCGTCCATCTGATACTCATCAGCGAGTTCGACCAAGAAGTAGCAATTTTCATTCGTTACAGATTTCCATCCCGTTTCTGATACAGTTGGATAAATAATCAGTAGAAGCTCTTTGATCTCACTTGCCTTTTTGCCTGGAAGAGGAATTTCATACATGTTCTTTTCTTNGTATGTATGTATGTATGTATGTATGTATGTATGTATGTATGTATGTATGTATGTATGTGTGTGTGTGTGTCTGTCTGTCTGTCTGTCTGTCTGTCTGTCTGTATGTATGTAAATAAAAGCGTTGTGTGACAAGCAGAACAATAGTTCTAACCGTACGTTCTAAGGAAGTTGCTCCTCTGCACCAAACTTGCTGAAAGATACAGTTGCCATTCTTACGAGTTGGGAGCAGCTCTTCTCCAATTGGGTTGTTTGGTAAGAATATTAATTCGAATGATTGAAGTTATCCGGAGTCGAAGTTAGTCGATCGAGTAAATGAGCCTCAGCGGCTTCCTGCTCTACATAAAATTTACTGGTGATCACGAATTGTAATCCTTGCCGCTATCAGCAAGCAAACGTAATCAAAATCAACAATGTCAGGGCATTTTTCTGCGGATCTAAACGTATGCGCGTTCAGTGATTGTCTAAACTACTCCAGGCCGGCGTTCTTCTCGAATACGTCACCTCAATATGAAGGCTTGTGCCTGCTGGACCATACTTTTACAGGACCTACACAAGGGTCTTCCCTCAAGTCTTTTTATCATTCCCTCAGCAATCTGTTTGTAAATGTGTGGCTCCATTTTATGATACATCTCGTGACTTTTGAAATCATCCAGCGACAGCCCCCTAGCTTTCCCGATTATGGTTTTAACGAGCTTGTCTAGTTTGTGGGTCTGTGCAAGTGTCAAATGAACCAGGAACTCATTTCCGCTCGAACGAGATACCTCGTCGACCAAGAAATTTTCGCACCTCTGCTTAATGGCGTCCATCTGATACTCATCAGCGAGTTCGACCAAGAAGTAGCAATTTTCATTCGTTACAGATTTCCATCCCGTTTCTGATACAGTTGGATAAATAATCAGTAGAAGCTCTTTGATCTCACTTGCCTTTTTGCCTGGAAGAGGAATTTCATACATGTTCTTTTCTTTAAACATTGACGTAAACATCGTCTCAAACACAGGCGACCATATCGAAAGAGTCGATCGATGGACGTGAAACTTCTGGTCTTCTACAACAAGAACGACATCGCTAAACTTCCATGGCTCGGAGAAATCCGGTGGACCAACTGAACTGTTATTTGATGTAGCCATTGCACAGCAATTACATCACAAAGCGAATCACTCCGGAATCAGAAGCGTCGGGAGACTGGCTTAGGAGAAAACGGCGACACAAAGATTGCCATTCGAGCGTGACTTAACGATAGCTTATTGTCATGACAATGGGCGCAAAAGTGAGTCGCGCAAATACCTACAACCGAGGAATGTGTGGCTCGTGTTTTGCTGTCTTTATTATTTTTTGAGGGTTTTCAGTGGAATAATGACCGCCATAATTTTCTCATGCCAGTTTTTGACTCCGAAAAAACTTGCCACCATGANCTCATGACTTTTGAAATCATTCAACCGTAGCTCATGAACGGCTTTGTTGACTATGGTTTGAACGAGCTTCGCTAGTCTGTGAGGCTGTGCAAATCTCAGTTCATTAAGGAATGTATTTCCGGACGTATTTTTTACCTTTTCGACCAAGAAATCTTCGCACCTCTGCTTAATGGCGTCCATCTGATACTCGTCAGCGAGCTCAACCAGGAAATAACAATTTTCATTCGTTACAGTTTTCCATCCCTTCTCTGATACAGTGGGATAAATAATCAGAAGAAGCTCCTTGATCTCACTTGCCTTTTTGAGTGGAAGTGGAATTTCATACAAGTTCTTTTCTTTGAATTCTGACGAAAACATCTTCCTGAACACCGGAGACCACATGGCAAGAACAAAGCGATGGACGTGAAACTTCTGTTCTCCTACAACAAGAACGACATCGCTAAACATCCACGGTTCTGAGAAATCTGGTGGGGTAGCTGAAGTGGACATGTTACTTGAGGTAGCCATTGCAAATATTTGTGAAAATTACAGGACTCTTGCGTAATTGTCTGAATTGTTTCGTGGCACTCCTTGATCGACACTGAAGAGAAAACAGCAACTCATGGAATGCCATCCTCACGTGACTTGATGATACGACCGTGAGCCAATCAGGCATTCAGCAGATAGGAGACAGGCGGGAGAACTGCAACTCGATCCTAGACTCTCTCTTCTTTTCCTTCCTTGTCCTAAGAAACAAGGGAGGAAAGGAACAGGGAGCCTGGGGTCGAGACTGGAGAAGCTGTCCCAGACTATCATGTATGTTAACCGGAGAGGAGTTTGTTGGGCCTCTTATTTTACTGAAAGACCATATTGAATATTCCCGAAAAAGAGATTTAATTAGAATGCCAGAAACCATTTCACTTTTATATAATGTAGTGTTTACTAGGAGTATATTTTAATAGTAAGACATTACAATCAAATTTTATGCATTTATACAGCCGAATCAAGTTTCTGCAGGACATTGCAAGACATAGAGTTACAACACGTGACGTCAACAGAGCATTGCTGTTGTAACGCCGATGCCAATCAAAAACAAACTTTTTCTGAAGTTTGATATCAATTGGTAAAGTAGCTAGCCCAACAGCGGTTGGATAAAATCGAATAGGGAACTACGGGTCATGAAAATTCCCTCTGAAAGTATATAAACCTGAAAATTTACATGGAAGCGTATTTGTAAATGTTTTTTTTTTTTCCATTTTCTGATAACATGGCACATTATATAAAAAGAACTAAATCAGTTTGTTCTTGAAAAGTACCCCGCGTGACCAACTGTTTCAACCAGGGTCTCTCTCCTTGATGATAAGATAGACAAAGGAGAGAGAGCCTGAGATTGAGCTTGGTACAGTATGTAGTTTCTTATCAAATTTATCTTTGTCCGGCTTCGTCGGAGACTGCTGTAGCTTTACTTCCAGAAAGCGACACGTTTGCAGAGATATTTTTCTGCATCAATTTGACCAAGCTTTTTGTCTCTCGAGCAAATGTTTAGGTTTTTACCTCCTTTGTTCGTTCTGGCACCACATCATTCTAACGCAGGCTAAGCCAGCGACTTTAAACCCAGAGGGGGCTCCGTCAAGGCCAGACTGGGCACATGGCCCAATGACTGGCCTATCTGCTAGTGGCTTGCTGGCGGCCAGCTTTGAAAAGCAGGGGGGAGGGGAGGGTGTCTTGTACTGACACCCCCAACTAGCTAGACCTTGACTTTTCAGTGTTAACTAAGCTTGATATTGACTGCGTTTCTGGGTATTTT